CCCACCATGCCGTCTCTTTCACCCTGCAGTTCTTGCGGCGGCGGTGTTTGCCTTCCGCGCTGAGAACCTGATGGAGGTGACTTCGCTGGCCTCAGCTGAGGTTTGTCTGTCCCGCTTTTAGACATGTGTGCTCGCAGGTGCGTCTCAAACGAGGAGCCTATTCCCCCGGTTGCACAAGCTAGAAAGCTAGAAATAGCTTCAGAGGGGCCTCCACCCTCTCATCCCCCACCCCACCCAGCACGTCGACAAGTACTCACCATGTCCTCTGACACCCAGGCCGGTGTAGGAGGACCTCTTTGTTTGTGCTTACAACCATTTTTACAGCGTCTTAAGTGTAGCCTTACATTGCTAGTGTAACCCTGAATGCAGGCTATGTGACTCGCCACCCTTTTGCCTTCCTCACCCCTTGATGACGACGGGGTTAAGCGGCAGCATTATGTGGAGGGCAGTAGTTCTAGGGGGCACCATTTGCTTGCAAATTCTCCCACCTGCCCTTCTTAAGAGAAGATATCATCATAACACACTGCTTCTTATTTTATATTTAGCGCCTCGGGCCCAGTGCTGAAATTTTAAACCCTCTTTCTAAACATGATCGTGTCCCTAAATTTAATCCTCCCCACTGAACCCAAAAGGACAGGGTGGGAATCTCAGATCATCGTGCTGCTCTCCTGTCCTCTGTGGACGTTTGACTCAACTTTTTATGTCTATATTAAAGCGGATTGTTAGAGAGTTGTCTGACTTGTCTTTTCTTTGACGAACGCACCGCAGGCTGTCCTCGCCGACCTCTCCACTCTGAAGGTCATACCGCTCATCCAGATCTTTCTTTTCGCCACCGCCATCTGAACGTCGCCGACGCGAAGACTCAAGAGTTCTGGGTGGGTTCTCGTTGCACAACAACGAAGACAAGCTGACTAATGAAAAGTGACACCAGGAGGCCACACCTCATCTAGTTCAAGCAAAAAGCCAAACGCACCTTTCGCCCTATAAATAGTATTCTCCCTTTATGATGGTATTAGTTGTCATACAGTATGTAAGTTAATCCCGAGGCCAAGCCAGCCTCATTAAGCCGGGGGAAAGATGATCCTCGCGGCAGTTCTCCGATCAGCTGAGGTGAGTTGCATGAAGCAGTAATCGTGCCGCAACGGCAGCATGCAAGGAGACGCAACGACAGCGGCGTCTCCGTGCTTCCCTAATGAAGTGTTAATTAGTTCTTGCCATTTATGCGGCCCAGCGGCTCCTGCTTGTTATTATTAAACTGTTAGATCCTTATGTTACTGATGAATGATTTGGCATCTTAGTTTGCTTCAGCATGATGAGAGAAACCTGCAAAAAGCCATGAACTACAGTGCCATCCACAAATCAATCTTGAAATGAATTCCTGTTTAATTGCAGTGGCATAATCTCACAGCATTCTTTTAATTGCCTATTGTTTATATACACAGAGAGGAAGCTTTTAGTGCATTTGTTTTCATGCAGTCTGTCTTGGTTGGGACCTCTTTCATCCTCATTTAGCTCTGTAATGCTAGGAGGTTTATTTTTGTTTTATATGGTCTTGTTTTGACCATATAATCTGGATTATTATTTTGCCTGAAAAAACACAATGACGACCCTTTCCTAGTTGAGTCTCCTAGGGTTTTTAACGTTTTGTTTTAGGCCAGATTTCCAACGCCTTTGAAAGAGAAACAGGCCCAGATCATCACTCCTAATGAATTGTGCTCAACAGTGGACATAAGATGTTATTTTAATCGTCATTATTTTGTTATTGCCAGGTCCACTTGGTACATCTGATCAAATAACATGGCTCCAGTTAATTTCTTACATAAATGGCATGTTCTCTTATCTTACCCATTTTCAAGAGTGGCCAAAAGAAATGGTAAGTTTACATAAGTTTAATTAAAAGAATGATTTATTATCATGTGTTTTAAAGGAATTGTTGGGGGTGCCAGTGCAATACCTGTGATCTTTTGAGAAGTAAAATAATTATTTCTCAAGTTATACAATTTTCCCCAACAAATAAATAGCTTAAATTACATTTTTTTTTGTTTTACAGTTTTTGTGAGAGATTATGGTGCAACATTAAAACGAGAATTTATTTTTGTTTGTTTTTAGCCCTACCCTACCCTTGCTGGGTATGGGTTAAGGGGCAGTTTGTGTGGAGAACTCTGTAAATAACAGTACTGTTTGTGTAATGTACAAGCTACTGTCTACATGCAGTTTATTGCATTTATGAAGGGTTACAACACACTTTATGGATGTTTAGCACCTTCAGTGCCAACATTGAGGTGAAACGTTTTCTCTTTTTACACGACTATAAATTATGAATTTTTATTGTTTGGAAGTCATTGCCATTCAATCTTGTTCTGCAAAGAATTGTATTGCTATTATTATTATTATTTTTTTTTTTAATTAAAGGTTATTAAGGCAATCGCACCTGAAGTGCTCTGTGCTTCTTCTCTGAATATTTCTGTCGGGTTGTGTGACAAGATAAATGTTTGGACAGGCACCAGTGCATGCTGGAGGCTCACTGCAATCATTTCTAAATGAGCCCCCGCCCTACACGTAGCATATTCCCTCGTTCTTGGCCGCCTCCCTCATCCCCTGCTGTCCTCTCTGCAAGCTAGTATCGAATTATGCTGTTCTTCTCTTTCGTCTTTCCTCTCCCCCTCCTCCGCCCTCCTGGATTCTGCTACATCTGCCACCTGTTTACTAGCACTCCCACGCCGGACTCTTTTATCAGTCATGCTCCTCCTTTGGGCCCCACGAGTCTGTCGGTCCTGCAACATGTACCTGCTGTGGTGATTTAATCACACTGCAGTCCCTCCTGGTGGCTGATTCGTTGCATTGCAGGACAGCGTGCCTTCTGTCCATCAACACGCAGACACCGGCCGTCGTTGACGGATTTCTTTCTGAAATTTGAATCAAGCACAGTGATCTTAGAAGATGTTTGTGCAGCACAGTGTACTCAGATCGTCTTAGATTTTCTAATTAAAGTCCAGTGGAAAACTCATTTCCCCCTTTCAGTGGATACCAGGAGTTTACGTACTCTGAATAAAAAGTCTCAAATGAGAGAGATTCAATTATTAATATCTTCAAAATTATAAGTTTACATACAAAACGATTTGTGTCTCTTTAACCTTCTTAGCTGTCATGATTGATGACGCCAATGTCATGGACACATTGGCTTCCTTGTAAGCATTTTGAGGGTGACAGCTAAGGGGTTAAGCAACGAGGGAAAGCCAAGGTGCTGATGTCATAGCATTGGAAACTTCTGATAGGTTAACTGACACACTTGAGTAAACTGGAGGCCCACCTGGTGATGTATTAGGGCCACACCTGGAACAAACTGCCTTGTTGTTTGACAAGACTTGAAAGTTAAAAGAAACCAGCCAAGATATCAGGAAGAGAATTTTGAAGCTGAACAACTCTGGTTTATCCCTGCGGGGATGCTTGCAGGCGCTGCATTTATTTGTTCAAACAATTATGCAAGCACAGACACGATTGGAATGTCTGTCGTAGCTCTCAGGATGGAGATTGGTTCTATGTCCCAGAGATGAATGAATTCTGATTGGAAATATTCAACTTGACCCTGGAACAAGAGCCAAAGACCTTGTGAAGATGCTAGTCGAAGCTAGTCCTGTACCAACATTGACCGAAAGGCCACTCAGTGCAGAGGAAGCCATTAATCCAAAAGAAATGTAAAGCAGCCAGATTACAGTTTGCAAATGCACAGACACATAGATCAATTTTGGAGACATGTCCTGTGGTCTGATTCTCACCATGCAATTTAAAAGAATTAGCCCTGACGCTGACCAAATTTGTACTAAATTCAAATAAAAGGCCACAAATATAACAAATATTTTTAAAAACCCTTCTTGCTAAATTTTTTGCCATTTATCGTCCATCCATTATCTAACACTGATCTAAAAAAAAAAAGAAAAATGTGGTCTGGTTTAGCTACAGAGAGAAAGAATGTGTATCTGTATTTTTTCAGTCAGCCTATGTCAGCTTCAGGTTTTAGCTGTAAATGATTCAAATTATGTTGAAGAAGAGAAGCCTTCAGAATTTCAGTCCACTCTGAAATACAATGTATGTATTTTAAAATATTGAAAGAGAGATTTTGTATTTACATTTATCTAAAAATGACAAGTAATGGTTATTTTACACGCTCATCAATCTGGGGGGAAAAATGCAACAATCAAACCCTTTTTAATAACTGCTTACCAGCTTTTTACGTGTTTATTTAGTTTGACGATTTATATTTGAGATTGGAAAACCTCTTTACCTCCGCCATATTTTATCTCCCCTGCACAGATTGCCTGTCAGATTCAAATTGGGACTTGGCCATGTCACTCCAAAATGCTGTTACTACTTCCAGGCATAACATCTTGGTAAAATGTAAAGATGACTTTAAACCTGTATTTCAGAGGATAAAGAACATCTAGACTGGTTTTGTGCTGCACCTGAATAATACATGTTTCCCTTTCTTTCAATAAGGGAAACGTGCACCATTTCTAAAGTTTGGGATTTACCAAAACTTTAAAAATGCTTTGGTAACATTTTTAAATGATCTCTCCTGCAAATAAATCAATTTGCCTGCGTGAATGCTGTGGCGTTGGCACGATACAAAATGTTGGATTTCTTGATTTCTGATAAACTGAAGACAGTGGATGACGTGCAGCCATTTCACTTGTACATTGTTTTAGGGATGTCATAATCATAATAAAATTCTACTTTTTATTTGGATGTTGTCTGTGTCATGAGGCTAATGTACTATGTTTCAAGGTCTTATCCACAAACCCTCAGTAGCAACAACGACCTTTTGTTTTCCGCGCGGAGCATCTTCAAAAACAGACAGGAGACTGCCGTTGGAAGCAACCAATCAGACGCTGCCATGTCGGGCCAGTCCAGCCAATGGGATCGCTCGGTCGGGGGAAGAAAACTTGGACGGGGCGATGGAGGAGAACAATGAGGCGGCAAAAAAAAAAAAAAAAAAAAAAAAACGTGCTCATCCTCCACTTCACTGTGGAAGAAGACACCACGCTAAGTTTCTGGAGGCTTCTGGGGTTTCTGACGTGGTTTTGCTAACGTAAACCCACCATTAGCTAAAACCCCCCCGGCGTTAGCAGCTCTTAATTTACCTCCACGCAGGTACAAACACTCCCAGGAAAAGCCCTGGTCAGACGCACGCGAGGGCATTTGGAGGCGAACCACAGCGTCTCACCCGTCCGTCCTCACCCCTCCCCGTCTTTGTCGTCACGTCGAGCCGCTTTGCATACCGACTTCCTTCTCCCGCCGGTCCCCATCAGCCAGCCGGCCAGGCGAGCAGCAGCAGCTGATAACATGACGGGAGGATACAGTGTCACGGAGAGCCACGCAGAGCCGACTTTAAAAACTTCATTCGGGAAGTAGGCGGATGTCGTGTGCGACCGACATCCAACTCGGAGAAGGACGACACGGAGTGGAGCGGAGAAATGGATAATATCTGATGCTACCGGGATTTTTGTTGTTGTTTGTCTTGTTCGACGCGAAGAGGCTGAATATGCCGGTGTTTGGAAGTACGCGGAGTGTTTTTCTTCCCACTCACAGCTCTAACCTAAGGATTTAAATCGCCGCTTTTTTTTTTTTTGGCTAATTGTAGCCCCTCGATTAAAACAAAACAAAAAACAAACAAAAAAAAAACGCTACTTGTGCGTTGCTGAGTTTTTATTTATTTTTTTTTATTTTGTATTTTTTTTAACGTCGCAGTTAGTGAGCGCGCTTTCCTGCAGGCTTCATGTGATTTTGTAAGCTAATCCACATTTTTAAATGTATAAAATTAGCCATGGGGTGGCCCCCCTCTGAAACAGCCTGTGAAACCATTAGGAGCGCCTCTCGGCTCCCCTTCTTCACCCACCTTCCATCAACATTTCCTGTTTGCTAGCTTTTCCCCTCATTACAGGTGTCTTATTTGTTTATGTTTTATTTATTTTTGCGACACCGCATTCATTTTTTTTTTTTTTGCAGTTACAACCTAATTCAGATTTTTCTTGTTTGTTTTTTTTCAAATATTCATCTTTACGTTAAGGCTGCTAACTGCTGTGTGTTTTGCAATCAATTAACTAACCCCGCCAACCCTCCCCCGCCCCCCATCGCAGGACACGAATCCCCCCGTTTTCCCGTCCTGATTTCCACCATGAGTTACATGGTAGTGAATGTATTGCTACGTGGACTCGTCATCTATGCGGTACTGGGCTCGGAGTGCTCCTACTCCAACGATCTGCCGAGCCACTCGTCTGACGCTGCAAATGTAGCCATCACAGGTAAGATCAACCCGCTGCGTGTCTGCTAATTTATTTAAAAAAAGATATTTTGAATATACGTGCAGGATTTACACCACCCACCCCTCTAAACCCGAAACACACAGCCTCCTCTTCCTCTCCTCCTCCTCGTTTCCCTCTGGTCCCCAGTGGTTTTCTCAGGGAAAGCCGAGGAAAGCCCTGCGCATTGATGGAGAGTGGTGATGCATCACTCCCCCCCTTCCTCCTGTACGTTGCTGAGGAATGCATGACATGACTAAAATGCTGTTTGCAGAATCTTTAAATGCAAGGCTTTATACATCAAGGGACGTCAGGGAAATCACAGTGCCTTGTAAAAGTATTCACAACCCTCTTACATTTGGGTCCCTCACAGGCCGTTTTTGTGTTGTTCTTGAATCGGATCTGACAGAAGCAGCACAAAGAAATAGGTGTTTGAAAGTGGATGCACGCTCGGAGAAGGTCGGAGCAAAATGAAGTCTTTCAGCATGAGTACAAAACATGACTAACACTGCACATTACCCTGGTAACGTCATCCCTATTGTAAAACATGGTGGTGGCGGCATCATTCCCCAGGGATGCTAGCTCTAAATAGGGTAAACTTGATGGAGAAAATGAATGAAGACAGGAGAATCCTGGAAGAAAACCTGGGTTCGCCTACTCTAATAAATATACAGCCAGAGCTGCAATGTTTACATGAAAGCACGGTCCAGTCAACGTCCAGATCTAGATCCAATTGAGAATTTGTCTTGTGGCTTTAAAAGAGGTAAACACTTTGTGGCAAAACAACAATTTAAGCAAAGTTTCAAGTGTCCAGATTTCCAAAGCTCATACAGTTATACAAGAGGCTGCGTTGAGCTCTCAGAAAATTCTTACTGCCTCACATTAAAGTTAATAGCCGGGACAAAGTGTGAATACGGTAGGAAGTCATTGTATGTTCTTGATCATTAAGGCCTCAGATGAACTCCTGCACTCTCCTTCACCCCCCTTTAAACTGCAGTATCGATATAAACTAATGAGAACAGTATTTTCTATCCATTTGCATCCGTTTTTAAACAGGCTTTATTGATTGAACAGACTGAACAGCTCTTCACACTGTGCCTTAACTAGCAGGGTTAAATACAGACACCAGCGTATGTGTTTCTTTGTCTCATAAAGGACATTTTAAAAAAATACTTTTGGGACACTAACATATGCTCCAGCTGTCTTTTCCTTCATTTATTCATTTGGCTCTAATTAAAATTCCAGTCGGAGGTTTACATATGCTCATGAAGATAATAAATGTAGTCATTTCTGTGTTTTTAATGAATTATTTGAGTTGTTTATTTCCCAGGAAGGCTCGAACAACACAAAATTGTGGTCATTAAAACAAGAATTGGGTGCTAAACTGTATTAAATTTGCCAAGGCCTTTCTCCAATCCACACATACTGTAGTGAAAATGCAACCACCTAAGTTGTTAAATAAGCAGCATTTTCAGTTGTAGTGTCAGGCAAAATGCAAATAAACAATGCACAACCTTTTTATTTTTTTAATTTGTTGTATTTTTAGCTTTCAGGAAGTCAGTTGCATCCATTTATTTTAGCTTTGTGCTACTCCACAGTTTGTCTGACTTCAAAATGCTTTTTTCAGACGCAGGATTCTTTTATAAATCCGCTTTATTCTAAAGATTTATTCATTTTTTTCACAAAATGCCCTTTTTTTCTGAAATTAATCATTTCACAGTAGCCTATGAGTCATTCAGGCCTAATGAAAACATCGATGGCTCAGCCTAAAGAGTGAGCAAGTGTTGACTCATCAACAGGCGTAGTTTTCCTTCCATGTCTGACCTTGAAGATGACAGTTAAAGAGCTAGACAATGCTGAAGTTCACCTGATGTATCATCTGGACCTGGAGGATTGTTATAGTTTGTGAAGGTCGTATGTTGTACACTCGAGTCCGTGTTCTCCTTCTCCAGACACTTTGTTCACGTCATAGTTCTGCCTCCTTTGAGGAAACAGTTTCTTTTCACAGGCTCTGTTGCCATGTGACCAGGAGAAAGTCCAGGAAGTTGACGTTGCCCTGCCGGCAAACACTCAGCCACAAAAAAAAACCTGCTCTAGAAATGGGTCGTTTGTGTTTTTGTCCTCCACTTTATTACAAATTTACCGGAGCTGAACAAAGTGTGTCGCTGGTAGTGACTTAAAAACAGCCAGAGCGCTTTTCTAACTGCTGTAGCCAGATTTATTTAATTGTGATCGTGGTTGTTCGACGGATAAATTAAAGCATCGTGAGTATCAGGCGTTCTGCTGAAACCGTCCAAAAGATAATACTTGAAAGTCTTATCCAAAGATGTGGATATGCTCTGGTGCACATTAGGGATTCTGGAAGCCACAATGTATTTTTTTTAATCAACTTATTAGAATATTATTGCAGCTTTCAACCACGTCTTCATGTACTTTTTGTAATTTGCGTAGTTTTATATTTTATGGCCTTAATAAATGTTTTTATGATGATTTTGTCCGATCATGTGGAAAAGAAAATGTTCATGATGGTCAACACATTAATGAAGAAAAAAAAAAACTCCTAAGTATTCCCTGTTTGCCGTAATTTTCTAGAATTACGGAAGCCCAGTTGATCAACAATTGTGACCGCTCTTGCTAAAAGCAGGAGTTGGGTTACTTTGACAGGACAGGTCCGACAACGATCAGATAGGTCTGCAGAGATGATCATCACGGTTGACCTCCTCCCCTTCAGAACTTGTAAAGGCTTAAGGTCAAGATAAGGGCAGACCCCACACATCCTGGACAAAAGCTGTTTAGGCTTTTACCTTTACAGCACTGGTTGAAAAAAACCAGCCACTATTGGGACAATTCTTCCCCCATGAACACTAATTTATGTTCATGCTAATTCAACTCTTTCTTTTTCGTAAAAAAACATCCTCAGTAATAAACAAGAAGATGGGAAGGGTTTTGAGGTAATTTTCAAACCATTCAAAATTCATTCTCTGGTAAAAAAAAATAATAATAGTGGCACGAAAACATTGAACAGTTTCCCATCTTTCCCGGAGTGGATATTTCACAAATTTAAACAAATTCACCACATGATTATTATCTAATGTTTTGAGAAATTCCAAATAACCCAAGAGCTCAATTTCAGCTTCTGTAAGCCTCATTTAGCGTGTTAAATGTTGCATTGCATGACATTCAAGAAAGAGAATGAACAAGTATAGCTTGTTTTGAAGAGCTGCCCTGGAGAAAACATCCGCTTTAGATTTGATGAGGAGTCCTTGGATTTATAAGACCACATTGGAGACGTTTGGAGATCAAACACAGCATATCAGCATAAATGCCTCATAAAAACTGGAAAAGTGAGCACCTTGCCGTGGAGTGAGGTATCTTCAAGTGGCCCAGCCAAAGTCCAGACCTTAGCCTGTGGGAAATGCCACGGTGGTCGTGCATAAACGTACACTCTCAAACCCAATTGGCTCGAGGCAATGTTGTCCTGGAGATGGAAGGGATTTATAAAGTCATATAGAAAAGGATTATGACAAGGTATTGCTGCTAAAGGTGCTTTTATGACTAACAAAATGATGGAGCGCGCTCAGTAGATTTCCCCAAGTCACATTTAAATAGACTTTAATCAAGTCGGATAAGGCTGTGAGTTCTATGATGATTGTTATTTTCTAATTCAGACCATTAATTGAATAATAAATCACACGACCCTCATCAGAGGTTGTAGTTTAGCTGTCTTTGGTATTTTATTTATCTGTTCTTTCATTTTTATGCCTCCTGTACACTTTAACTGTCCCCACTTGACATTTTATACAGCTTCAAGCAGATTTTTCTTTTTAAAGATGCTTCCCTGATGTAAATATTAGTTTTCCTCTTCGACGTTAGTCTTAGATAAATCCAAAGTGAGCCCTAGTTTCTTATTCTATTTACTGTTTTACTCCTCTTCCTTTGTGAGGTGTTTATGTAGACCGATATGTGCCCCAGTGTCAGGCTGCTAGCTTCACAAGCAGCCTGACAAATGTTTAGCCTTAAATTCATTTAAATATGCATATCCACCCAATACGTCCCACCCACGCGTGGCAGAGCTGCAGGAGAAGGTAATAAACCTCATCCGAGACAGCTGGTAAACATTCAAGGACTGTGTCTTTACAAGTGCGAATCCAGCCGCTGAAAATAAACCCAGGACATATACGGTTTATTGATCAATAAGGCAGAGGCGCACTCTCCCTTTTCCAGCGTGAGAGCGGCCCCGGGGGCCGGCGGCGACACTCTCTCCTCCGGCACACAGCGGAGCGAAGTGGATGCAGAGATGGCAGTGATTTAATACAATGTCAGTAAACATGACCGCAGTGTTAGCCGTTTCCCACACGGCTCCCTGGAAAGGTCAGCTGCCCTGGTGTCAGGCTAGGAAAACACGAGTCTCTGTTTGAGTGTGTTCGTGCCGAGGTCTCCTTACAATCTAATACGTTTCAGTCGCTCTCAGATTTTCAAAGGGTCTGGATAGTTTTGGGGTTTTTCCACTAAAAGGCTGTACTTTACAACTACTAAGCAAGAACAGTAAAGTGGTGGTGCTGTCATAGTCATTACCTAAATGATCTGTCAGTGAAGTAGTCAATGCATTTCATTCTTCTTCCCTTACCTTTGTAAAATGTGTCTCTTTCAGAAAACATTTTCTGACAATGACAAGATTCAAACAACAGGGAATGGTAATGATCTAATTTATATTTTTTTAATATATATTTGCGGTGTGAAAATTCATTTGGGAGGCCTGCAGATTTTTGACTTTTTATTCCAGCTCAGAAACGAAGGCTGCTGTTATCCGATCCTCTCAGGCTTCAAAGCTGCCATTTAGCCTGCTGGGAGCAGCACGGCGGTGAAACTGCAGGTGGGTCAGGTGTATCCCCCCTGTGATTTGGGATGTTCAAAGATCAGGCCTCGGGGTTGAACGTGCCCGGTTATCGGAGGGATAACCGCCGATGTTTCAAAATGAAAATGTTGACTTTAAGATTAGAAAT